CCGCCATGCCGCTGCCGGTGCTCTTGCTGCGGGCGGCGGGCGCTTGGACCCGGCTGCGGCCGCCCTCCGTCGCGGGGCGCAGGTACCGGGGAGTGCGGGGCATCCCGGGAGGAGCCCGGAGCCCCGGCTCCGAGCCCCGACTCCTGCTGGGAGGAGCCCCGACTCGGTGGTCGCGGGGGTCTCGGGGGTGCGAGTCGGGCTGCGGGGGAGCCAGGGGTCCCGGGAACTCGCGGGGGCTCCCGGACACCTGGATCCCTGCGGGGGGACCGCGGGGAGGCCGGGGCTCCCGGGAGGTTTAGGGAACGTGGGCTTCCCGGAGGAGCCGCACGGGAGTCAGGGCTGGTCCTGGGGACCCCGGGCACCTTGGGGGTCACCCCGCCTCTGGGTGTGCTGCGGTGCGGGGAGCTGGCACCTGCGGCGGCCGGGAGGTGCCCAGACTCACGGGCCCTTGGGTGGTGGGGGCACCCCAACTCCTGCGGGGGCAGCCAGGACTCCGGGATTCCGGGCGGGCCTGGGGGATGCTGGCTCCCCTGGGGGCAGGAACACAACTCCTGCTGGGGGCACAGGGGGGTTCTGAGGCGCCTGGGCTGATCCGTGGCGGCTGCCCCAGGTCCACTCGCCCCCAGGTTCACTTCTCTCACCCCTCTCCCCAGTTTCAGGTATGGGGGGCGCCTGGGGCTGGCCGTGGCCCCCCGGCTGCCCCCAGCCCTCCCGGCCCCCCGGCGCCTGCTCCTGGCGGGCTCGGCCACGGGCTGCGTGCTGCTGGGGCTGCTGCGCACGGCTGCGCGCTGCCAGGAGGCCGCTGTCCCCGCCGGCCCCCCTGCTGCTCCCGAGCCGCCAGAGACCCCCCCGGAGACCCCCTTCGACTGGCCACTGTTCTGGACCTTCCTGCGCCCGCAGCTCCTGGCGCTCTCAGCTGCTGTTGTGGTGAGCAGGGCTGAGTGGGTGGCCTTGTCCCCACTGTCCCTGTGTCACACCTGTGGAGTAGCACACTGTCCCTGTGCCACAGCATGATGGCCACTGTCCCACTGACGTGGTGTGGCACCTGCCATCCCACTGCCTGTCACTGTCCTAGTGCCACAGTGTGATGGGACGTGACGCCACCTGTCCCCATGCCATGGTGTGGCAGCCATTGGTGATATCCACCATCCTGGTATCCACTGCTGTGTGACACATGCTGTCCCAGTGGCACAGTGTGACGGCCACCATCCATCCCAGTGCTGACACGAGATAGCCACTGTCCCAGTGCATGGTGTGACCCCCGCTGTCCCAGTGCCATGGTGTGGCACCCGCTGTCCCAGTGCCATGGTGTGACACCCGCTGTCCCAGTGCATGGTGTGACACCCACTGTCCCAGTGCCATGGTGTGGCACTCACTGTCCCGGGGCTGTGCCAGGCCACCCATGTCCGGTGTCATGGCATGACCCCCGCTGTCCCAGTGCCATGGTGTGACCCCCGCTGTCCTGGGGCTGTGCCAGGCCACCCATGTCCGGTGTCATGGCATGACCCCCGCTGTCCCAGTGCCATGGTGTGACCCCCGCTGTCCTGGGGCTGTGCCAGGCCCCCCATGTCCGGTGTCATGGCATGACCCCCGCTGTCCCAGTGCCATGGTGTGACCCCCGCTGTCCTGGGGCTGTGCCAGGCCCCCCATGTCCGGTGTCATGGCATGACCCCCGCTGTCCCAGTGCCATGGTGTGACACCCGCTGTTCGGTGCCATGGCGTGACCCCCGCTGTCCCAGTGCCGTGACAGCCGTGTCCCCGTGTGCCCCGCAGCTGGCGCTGGGCGCGGCCCTGCTCAACGTGCGCATCCCGGTGCTGCTGGGCCAGCTGGTGGACGTGGTGGCCCGATGTGCCCGCGGCCACGTTGCCACCTACCTGCGGGAGGTGCGGCGCCCGGCCCTGCGCCTCCTCGCCGTCTACTGCCTGCAGGTGAGTGACGACCCCCCAAAGGGTGGGTGGGGGGTCCCGGGGGTGCCCCCAGACCCTCCTGACCCCCCCGTCCCGCAGGGCCTGCTGACCTTCGGGTACATCGCGCTGCTGGCCCGCGTCGGCGAGCGGGTGGCCGGCAACATGCGCAAGGCTCTCTTCAGCGCCCTGCTCAGGTAACCCGGCAGGGACGGGGGGCGGGAGACACGGGTGCCCAGGGACCCCCACCCACCGCTCCCCCGGCAGGCAGGAGGTGGCCTTCTTTGATGCCACACGCACGGGGCAGCTGGTGACGCGGCTGACGGCCGACATCCAGGAGTTCAAGTCTTCCTTCAAGCTGGCCATCTCGCAGGTGAGCCCGGCCGCCTCCCAGCTGAGCCCAGCTGTCTCCTGGGCAATCCTGGTGGTCCCTCCCACCCAGTGCGTCCCCCCCAGGGCCTGCGCAGCGGCACCCAGACCGCCGGCTGCTTCGTGTCGCTGTACCTGCTGTCGCCCAAGCTCACGGCGCTGCTGCTCGTGGCGCTGCCGGCGCTGGTGGCCGCCGGCGCCTTCATCGGCGCCTTCCTCCGCAGCCTGTCCCGCCAGGCACAGGAGCAGGTAAGCCTCACCCGAGAGCCCCCGTCCTGCCAGCCGCGAGGCCGCAGCGCGAGGCGTCTCCACCGTCCCCGCTGTCCCTGCAGGTGGCCAAGGCCACCGTGGTGGCCGACGAGGCGCTGGGCAACGTGCGGACGGTGCGCGCCTTTGCCATGGAGGAGCAGCAGGCAGGGTAAGGGGAAGGCTGGGGCTGGGGGGTGGTGGGCCTGTGGCAGAGGGGACCCCAGCCCGTGCCTGCCCCAGGATGTTCCGTGCCGAGGTGGACCGTGCCGGATGTCTGAGCGAGCGGCTGGGCCTCGGCATCGCCGCCTTCCAGGGGCTCTCCAACCTGGCGCTCAACGGTGAGTGGGGGTCACTCGCTGGGAGCTGGGCGCTGTGGGGTGGCACTCCCTTGGGCAGGACCTCCTCCCTGCCCCTTCTCCATGTCCCCTTCAAACCCCAGCTCTGTCCCCACCCCTCAGGCATCGTCCTGGGAACCATCTTCGTGGGTGGCTCCCTGATGGCTGGAGACGAGCTCTCGCCTGGTGACCTCATGTCCTTCCTGGTGGCCTCGCAGACAGTGCAAAGGTCAGGGCAGGGCCCCCAGTACCCCGTGTACCCCGCAGCCTGCCTGGGCACAGCCCTGAGCTCACCCTCTGCCCTTGTGCATCCCAGGTCCTTGGCCAGCATCTCCATCCTGATGGGCCAGGTAGGTGGGGTGAGGGGTCCTGGCACCCCCTGAGGCTGGCGATTCAGGTTTGGGGCTGTGGGGCTGCTTTCACCACCTTCCCTGGGGGTGAGGTGGGGTCTGGGGGGCCATGAGGTGCTCCTGCTGTCCCCCCACAGGTGGTGCGGGGTCTGAGTGCTGGCGCCCGTGTCTTCGAGCTGCTGAGACTGGAGCCCCTCGTGCCACTGCAGGGGGGGGCCACCATCCCTGCCCACTCCCTGCTTGGACACATCTCCTTTGACCACGTCTCCTTCAGGTGGGCCCCAGCACGTCCCTGCCTGGCCCCCCGTGGCTCTGAGCTACCCCATGGACAGGGGGATTGGCACCGTGTCCCCACAGCCTTGCAGCCCCTGCCCCTCTCCCTGCAGCTATCCCACCCGGCCTGGCTACCCTGTCCTGCAGGACTTCAGCCTCACCCTGCCCCCCTGCCAGACCGTGGCCATCGTGGGCCCCTCAGGAGGAGGTACCAGTACCCCCCAACCTCTCCCTGGGTGCAGGTACCAACCTCTCCCTGGGTGCAGGTACCAGTACCCCCCAGCCTCTCCCTGGGTGCAGGTACCAGTACCCCCCACCCTCTCCCTGGGTGCAGGTACCAGTACCCCCCAGCCTCTCCCTGAGTGCAGGTACCAGTACCCCCCACCCTCTCCCTGGGTGCAGGTACCAGTACCCCCCAACCTCTCCCTGGGTGCAGGTACCAGTACCCCCCAGCCTCTCCTTGGGTGCAGGTACCAGTACCCCCCAGCCTCTCCCTGTGCGCATCCTCCTGCGCCCCAGTCCTCTGCCCAGTGTGCCCAGTGTATGCCAGGGACTGGGGACCCCCAGTGCTGCTGGAGCCAGGGGTCCAGAGCAGGGGGGCTCAGGGGTCTCCTCCCCAGGGAAGTCCACGGTGGCAGCGCTGCTGGAGCGGTTCTATGAGCCCACAGCAGGAACCATCACCCTGGACGGGCACGACATCGCCAGCCTGGACCCCTCGTGGCTGCGGGGCCAGGTCATCGGCTTCATCAGCCAGGTGGGGACAGGACCCCCGGCTGTCCCTGGGGAGGGGGAGGGAGGTGGCGCCGGGCTGGGCTCGGTGCTGAGGGCCGGGGCCTTGCTGCAGGAGCCGGTGCTGTTTGGCACAACCATCATGGAGAACATCCGCTTCGGGAAGCCGGGAGCCTCTGATGCCGAGGTGTACGAGGCCGCCCGGCTCGCCGACGCTGACGGCTTCATCCGCAGCTTCCCCGAGGGCTACGACACCGTCGTGGGTATGGCCGGGGCGGGAGGGGCCAGGCG